TGAAAAATTATATGAAAAATTCTGAGAAAAATTTTCATTAGAGATGTGCAACTTGCTCTCCAATTATTGTATTAGTAGATTAGTATCTAGTGTTAGTAGATTAGTATCTATTATTAGTAGATTAGTATCTAATATTAGTAGATTATTATTAATTACTAAAATACTGCATCGATTTATTATCTTGTTTTTGTTCAGTAAATGGATTCAGAGATTTTGAGCATCTTTTGTACGCAATAATTGCAGGCAAAGTGTTATCAAGATGTAAATCTTGATTGAAAAATCCTAAGTAATTTTACTTCTCAAGTACTGAACAGAGTTAATATAACTTTCCAAGGATTGCATAAAAAGTGCATAAAATTTCTACCAGGGTAAATATATTGTTTCAACATCTCCGTAGGCAATTTGATTTATTACAAGTGTTGACAGAAAAGTTTACGTTATCACCCCGTCTTAACTGCAAGCACCGTTCCTTCGCTCGACTTCGTCTAACGTAACTCAGAGCGTAGATGAATCAAGCGATTTTTAAGGTTCGTTTGCGGCGTAACGGTCGTTAAACATCGTTTTATGCAGTGTAACGTACCGCCGCAACGGTTTCCACGGTGTTACGCTGCCAGTATTTATGCATGTCGAACATCTGGTGAACAATGTTGGGGAGACATTGTTCAATGACCTGGAGTGTTTCCTCGAGCCGACGTTCGATCGTGGATTAAGCCTATTAAAATTAATAGCGATCAGTAATTATCACTGATCTTTCCGTTCTCGTCAGACTTCCTCAAGTAAGAGATTGGATACTAGACAATTTCTGGTTGGTACGCCATATTTTGCAGGACTTGCTTAAGGTAGAATGAAATGCTTGAATATTTCACTTTATCTTATGTATAATCTTATTCTGTCTTAAGCAAATCTTGAAAAATATGGCGGACCAAACGTATATATAATCTCTTATTTGAGGATTTTTAATGCTTGTTTCTATTAATGCAGATTAATCTCGATTTAACTTATTTTTCATCTTCCTTCAAGTCCAAAAATGAAAAAAAAATAAAAGCCAGTATTCATAATCAGATTTTATACAAGATCGTCTTAAGTATTATACAGTTTTAAGAAGTCCCATATTAATCAGAGGGTCGTATTAACATTTTTAAGACATTACTTGAGACAGTCTTGAAATAAAAACGGACTATGAATACCGTCCAAAGAGTAAATTAAATCGAGATTAAAGTTAATCTACATAAGTCGCGTGACTCCTCGATGAACGCGTAGACTACACTAGATCTCGAAGATAGCGATATAATTACAGCGTACTCGAGACGGAATGTCGGTAATAAGCGCCGTGGATCTCATAAGTTAGCTCGCGACAATCGCGATGCGAAATCGCGATGAGAAATGATTTATCTGGCGCGGTTCACAGTTTATGCTTCTCGACACACGGTCGGAATGATTTTGCACGCGCGAGTAAAGAGACGCGCGCGTGCCAAGCGCGCACGTTACACAATTCCGCGTTTCTTCGTGCCATCGTAGTTTCCATCACGCGCTCCCGCGATATTCTTCGAGACGCAGGATTATTTTCTCCGCATGAGATCCATATAGATTCTCCGCACGAATTCGATTCAGTTTCTCGATTCGTTCGATCGGGGTCTTCCTCTTTCATTCTTTCTTTCTCTCTCTCTCTCTGTCTCTCTCTTTCCTTCTCTGTATGTGTGTACAAACAGATTCCCGCTGGCTTTGCGCCAAGCGCTCGGACAAGAATTAATAAAATCGCACGGTCCCGGAAAACGGCAAGATCCCGCGATTGTGAAAGTATATCGATATGGGCCTCCCGATCTGGGTTATCGGGTCAACTTTTCAATTTGTCGGCGACAAAATGGCGGATGTGAAACTCCAGTTAGTAATTAGATCGACATCATGCGCGCCTATCTAAGATTAAGGATGACTGTTATATGAAAAGAATGATTTTGCTGAGGTATCTAAAAATTTAGATAGAGATAAGGATCTGAAAATAATTTTGTTGGACTATCGAAATAATAGTTATATAGGAAACTCAAGTATGTCGAGCAATGCTGCAAAAGGTTTTGATGATTTTCTGGCAACCAGTTTAAGTATCCTATACAAAGTAAAGTAGGGTAATGGAAATAGATTAATAGAAATTTTCAAATTGTATAAAAAATTGAAGTCACTTAGAGTATTCGGACATACAATTATTTTGATAATCTAACAAAATTATTTTTAGAGCTTCATTACATTTTTTAATACAGCAAAACATTATTTCCGCGCATCAAAGTCACGTAAATAAGTTTGATTGGGATAGCTATATAATAAAAAATTGGAATTAAATTGGAATGAGATTTGGAATTAAATTAGGATTAACCCGAAATTGAATGGGAATTAAATGGGCTCTCAAATAGATTAAACTATAATTATGTACGCGAGTATCAGTTAAACGTTTATCTGGAAATAAATCACGAAACATAAAGTTCAGATAAAGTTCACAAGTGATATGTTCTTTCAACGATTTGTTAACGATTTGTTACCTTTCTCTATCTATTTCTTACTATAATCTTCATTGCGGCAATTTAAATAGCGACATTTAGTTATAATTGACATTTGAGTTATAATTGTCCGATTATTCTATATTCGATACAACGTGTTTAGTTTTCAATAAAACTGTCAGTTTCCCAGGAACTGTAAGTTAACCAAGATTATGGTGTAGATGTATCTATTTGTAGACTCCATCCACTGTGACGATTGACATACCGCGTAAATATTCGTCGACGATACATCAACTTCCTGATGAAAATCTTTCTGTAATAATTATCAACAGTGGCGACGAAAAACATCGTAATTTTTAATGCGGTTTACAACGTCAATATCTTGGTGGGCCGAAGCAGACTATTACTAAATTAAGCGAAACCAGGCGAGCACGTGCGAGGATGGAAACGCTCGACTTGATATCGTAGGTCAGTGATACAAATCAATTCATTATTTTCGATTTACTGGCTACTGTATTACCTGCTGACACAATTCTCACACGTAGGCCGGTATTCATAGTTTTTATTTCAAGACAGTCTTGAGTTATGCCTGATGATTGTAATATTGCTCTGTATGTGTGTAATTGATTTATGACAGCTTAAAACTGTACTTACATATAAAACGGTTTTAATTCTTAAACGCTTTTTTCGCACATCCAACTCTTTTCTAATAATTTTTTATTGCTTATAATTTCTTTATTAATAAAAATATATAGATTTGCTTAGTGTCATTATATTCCTTGACTTCCGCCGGCAACTCTTCAGCAATAGGTCTTCGAGAAACAGGGCAAATTTTTTATATTATTACAGATAATTATTATAGATATTAAAATTTGTTCAAGTTATATAAAAATCTAAAAAAATTCTGATATACTTGTCAAACCTTTAACGACTTTTTATCACCCAAGTAACACAACAGCGTTTGCAAAGCGCTAAAAAAGTGATTATATGCGCTTTTTTAGCGCTTTATTAACGCTTTGTAAGCGCTGTGTGCTACTTGAGCATCATAGAACTTGGACTGTATACAGTAACGCCTGTAACTTCCATAATAAACGTTAAATAACATAGTGGTGCGTTATTTCGTTAAATTCACTCCTTGCAGTAACATTCAATGCATCTTGCATTGCATTATCTTGCATTGATTCTCGAATGAAGCAGATTCTGAAATCGATCGAGCATCGAAGATTCTTTATCCGATTGATTCGAATTTTTATATTTTTAGCATGTGCTCTTGAAATTCAAGAAAAGGATGGAAAGTCTTTTTTAATTACTACAAATTAACAGTAAATTCATAAACTTCCATTCAATACACTCGAGTCTGCGCTTCACAAGTAACTAGATATTCCGAGCAACATGATCAAACGCTTAAATCAACTTTGGCAAAAAGAACTGTAGTTTGCCAGAGGCATATGTATGATTAGTGAACGCAGATGTTTGGTGAAACAATCGAGCGGACGCGATATTATGCAGTTTCAATTATTAGAATAATGAAGCGCCTAGGCATCACTGATATGCGCAGCAGGCTGATCAAATATTGGTCAATCGTTAATTAGTGGCGCTCGTTCATTTTCTCTGAATACCGCATGGAAAATACACGCATTATTCGAATGATCGCTATTTGCCTAAGGCCGCAATGAATCGCAGCGGCATTACCGAAATCCGAGCCGCTCAAATATATAGAGGTACGCGATAAAGTTAGCAAAAATATTTTGCGAGCTTCGAAATATCCTCGTTGAGCGTAAGAATGTCAACGTTTTTTAGTACAGTTTTTATTATTATTAAATCGTTCAATCTCTCGATTCTTAACATATCCTTGAACGAAAGTAGAGCATTCGTTATGTACAATCGGACTCTTGTCACCGCAAGAGCTCGTATCGCCATAACAGCTACTCGCAGTGACTCGTCCTCGTCCGGGCGAATCTCGGTAATTACCACAAATGGAGCCATACTTACGCAATGAAGGGGCCGAGTAACCTGATGTGAGATAATCACGCGGCACAGATTCGCGGAGGGACCGGCTGCGATGCTTTGAATTCGCGATAATGTTCTCTGAGATGAAACGAGCCGAGCCGAGCCGAGCGGATAAGAAGCACGTGAGTCGAGACGACAGTCGCCCGGAGCTCGAGTGCTACTAAACAACCGAGTTTTATGCTGGAACCTCGATGAGAGTACCGCGGCGAGTAGAGTGGTATTGTGCACAAGTAGCGAAGTCTACGAGCTGCGTTCAAAACGACTTTCACTTCGGGCCCGAGGAGCCTTGCTTCCCTAGATGGGGGATCCAGTTTTTCCAAACTTCTTTTCCGCTCGAGCACGCAACTCGGTGACGAATTACAGGTGACGATGATGTCAGCGGAAACTATTTCTTGCCTGCACTTCCTCTTCTTACACCGCAGAGCATAGTTTTCTGCCAGATTATCGAGAATGATTTTTGGATTACGACTGCCACTTTTGATAACTTCAAAGCTTTGAAAGAATTCACCAAAACGTAACATTTCAAATTAGAGCTGTTATTTTCGACGACTTCGAAGATTTGAAAGCTTTGAAAGAATTCGAATTTTCGATGTTAATTCTGAACTGGAAGTTTAAACTGCTTCAAAGCTTCGAGGTTCAAAGTTTTCAAAGCACCTTAAACTTCGAAGGTTCGTAATTAATTTCGAAAATTTAAATTTTGTCGAAGCTTCGAATCTTCGAAAGTGTCAAAAGTAACAGGTCTAATTTAGATCCTACATGAGAATCTTTTAAACAAGATTCAAGCACATTTAAACTGAAACAGTCGACAAAATTATACTAGATTAGGATATAGAGAAAGTATTCATTCTAGAGAAAACTCTTCTGAGGAAAATTGTAAAAATGCATAATTTACTTGGAACGAGTTATAAAGTAGAATTTTTCTATTCACAAATATAAGTAAATAATGAGCAAAATGTCGACTTTATCTACTGTATTTCTTCGCAGAAACGTGGTAATGCGGCCAAATACTCCATTCTCTATTGCGAGTACAATAAGATACCATCTGACGTTTGATAAATTTATTGCCTTGTCCGAACGGCATTTTCATCTCCGTGACGGTCCCTTGTACGAGTAAACAACCCGTTGCCGCTTGAGATCGGCATGATATCATCTGACGGACTCGCCGGATGACCTCATCACGGCTGCATATCAACCGTTAGATAGAGATGCAAGCGAGATGTGTGCGTCTCTCCTATGGAATTTTTCATAAAACTCCCATACGCTCAGTATAATAGCAAGTCCTATTGTCTGAAGTGCCGCTATGCGAATTTCGTGTCGTGGGCGATAAAGATATGAATATAATTTAATATTCCGCAACGCGCAACGCGATTGCAGATCTGTGGTAATTTCCAGACTATACAAACATATAGAAGTTATCATAAAGGCATCGTTAAAACGTCTAATGGTCGCTCTAATCTCTTAATTTATATTTTTTCAATCTTTGTGTTGTTTGGAAATCTTGGCAGATTTTCAAATATCGATATATCATTAGATTAATCTTGATGTTTTATTATACTAATCATCAATCATTAGATCACCTCAAAATAATTTTTTTAACTATAGGATAATTTGTCTTTTTTATTTTTAATGATTTTTTTATAGCTTTGAAACAGTCTGTAACTTTGGCTATTTCTAAGAGAAAAATGTTTCAAGAAATAGCTATAACTTTACTAGGAAACAATTTGAAGATTATTTGCGTGGTAAAACGTAATTTTTTTTTAAATTAAAATTCAGAAATCAAATTGTCTATATTAATCCCCGGAACTGATGTCAAAATCCGTAACATAACTGATGCTATGTTTGTAAGACTCCTTTAATTTATGCTAATTTAAAAAAAGCATAATTGATTTCAAAATATTTGAATTCAAAATAAAATAATTCATATAAAAAAATACTAATTGTAAGTATATTTTAACAAGAATAATTCTAATTTGAAGATGTAACATAAAAAGATTAAATTAACATTTCTTACAGAGAGATTTATATTTGAATGGATCTTCAATAGAGGCCGTTAAAAGCGCAAGAATAAATATCTTTTCTTCTAAAAAATAATTGCAATAAAACTTCTATATAATTTTCGTGAAGATCGACGAACCTTTGTTTGTCAGAATAAATCTCAAAGTATAGCAAGAGCGACATAAGTCATAGATACAATCAGAATAAATTTTCCTTGTGCTTCGCGGAAAAACGGAATCGTCGTTTCTCACCATGCGTCCTAAACTTTTACAAAAATATAACGAACTACACAAAAATATAACGAAGAACACGTCTTTTATTTTCGATCGTTTAATTGCTTTTCAGTTTATTTCGAGAACATGGTCAACTTTTATTGGCAATGTTCACACTTCTGTAACGGATACGTTTGGCCTATCGATTAGACACGCGATTTTTTTTGGCAAACTTTCATTGTTTCATAGATTGAACTAGTGCGTACAAATCACATAGAGCTTTGCTGCGTTCAGCAGAAAAACAACTTTGCGACTGCAATAGGAGCGCCGAGTGGATTAAATGACATTTTCCCGAAAAATGGAGGAGATAATATTAGTATCAACGAAAATCTCTAAATGACATAATTTTAATTTTTATGGATTGTTAGCACTGTTCAAATAGTCATATGTGATTTTCCTTTAGCTTTAAAAAATAAATTCTCTGCTTCAAAAACACAAATTATTTTGTATATAATTTTCGTTTTTACAATAAAGAATTTGTACATTTATGTATATATATAAATGTACAAATTCTTTATTGTAAACACGAAAATTATATACAAAATAATTTTTTAAAGCTAAAGGAAAATCGTATATGACTATCTGAACAGTGTTAACAATTCATAGAAATTAAAATTATGTCGTTATATATATATATATATATATATA